TCTTTCCCTATTGGCAGATAATTTAACTTATTTCAAGGAAGTTGTCGTACGGCACACTCAAATCCTACACCAGCTCAGGAGGGGGTGTACACACGTTTTGAGTTAATGCGGAAATGCGTAGAAAAACAATTCCTAACACCACAAAATGCACTGACAAACTAAAAGATATGATACGGCCAAAAAATAATGACAAAATAATAAAAATGATGTTCTTATTCTTTTAAATGATAAAAATACAAATAATAATAATAATAAAGGCATTCTTCTTCTAAATAACAATAAGCGTAATTAATAATACAAATCATAAAGACAAGAAAAAGAATATTACAAATTGTCATACAATTATTAATGTAAATGAATGGTACTCCACATTACATCATCATCATCATCATCATCATCATCACTATTGTACACCCCAATACATGTGACATGATACAAAATTAAATGCTAATTGTTTCAAAACATGTGCTGTAAAAAAATGCATTGTGATAGGTCATTTCGGCTCAACGTTGGAGAAGTTTCTCTTCTTTGCCATCTTTCTTGTGTCCATGGCGTAAAATGAGGCTGTGAGAGAAGCGGAGACTTGAATATATAGGGGTGTGTTATTCTAATGACGATCTTTTTCAGCCGCTGCATTTATCAAGGGCAGGTATTGCACACACCTGGATTTCAAAGGTACACACAGCTTCATAATTCACTCAGTCACAGGAGTGTCAGCATAATCTTTGGGAGGGGTTTGGGGGCTTAGAAAATACACATATAACCCCAAGGAAGCATGAGAAACACTGTCCAGCCGCAGGTGGAATATTTCAACCCCAGGGGGGGGCAAGGTGGCTTGCCAAGGGAAAGACTCAGGGAGGCTTACAGTGGAAACATGTGGGGGTTGCTCAGAGGAGGGACCATGCACACGGGAGGCACTTAGCCAACATGCAGGCAATAGACACTGGCGTCGGCGTCAGCAGTGCTGGGCGAACTCAGGGCTTATGAGGCTCATCTGAGGAGAATATTGTACATATCCAGTCTGTGGAGTGTAAAGTCGAGCAAGCAAAGACACCTGAGCAGGTCCTAGTACTGGCTGGTTGAAGCTAGTACATGGGCGGACACAGGCTCAACTCGGAAATTGTAGAATCTGGTGAATGTGTTAGGTGTCACCCAGCCTGCAGCTCTGCAGATGTCTGTTAGAGAGGCGCCATGCGCTAGAGCCCAAGAGGATGCCACTCTCCGGGTGGAGTGGGCAGTCACACCAAGGGGGCACGGTCAACCTTGCAGCTGGTATGCCAAAGCAATGGCGTCCACTATCCAGTGGGACAGCCTTTGCTTGGAGAGAGCCTTTACCTTCAGCTTCTCAACAACAGATAAAGCAGTATCATTACTTTATGATAATAGTAATTTATCATTACTATTGATAATCACAGCTATACTACCACTCTTACTACACCTATTATTATCATGAATGCTGTTGGTTGCCAGGGAAAGAAAAAGGGAAAAAAAAGAAAGAAAGAAATTCATTATCTTTTATTATAGGCCATGTAGTCTAATATCATAGTAGGCCTACCCATAAACTATTCCACAGCGACTCTAGGGGTCACTGTTTGAGGATAATATGAGGTTTAAAACAATCTTACAGACCCCAACAATTTGAACTGTAGAGTACATTTAAATAAAAAAAATAAAATAAAATAAAATATAAAAACTAATGATAAAAAAACAACCAAACAAATAATCTTAATACAATTTCAAATGCCTCTCTGATGGCTCAATATTCATAATTTCATATTTAAAGGAGCAAAACGCAAGTATCTGAGTTTTTGCAGATCTACGCCCCCTCTGGCGACAAGCGAAACTGCGTGCTCGCTCACACACACATACGCGCACGTTTGCTCAAGCTGTTCATAACCAAAGGAGCATCAGCCGCACACTGTGCGGCACACAACTTTTGTTACAGTCATAATGAGGTAATACAGTTATAAATCTGCAGGTCATTTAAAATATATGAAAGGAAAGGCATTCGTGTGTGTGAGGGGAAAACAGGGGTAGTAGAAATCTGCGGTTTTTGTTTCCATCTATCTCCATATTGAACTGTTTTATGTGCTTACTGTATCCACGTATGATTGTATAATTATGGAAACACGTTCATGAACAATATAAGTTATTATTTTGTATAGGACCCGTTTGAGCCCGAGAGCAGACCGGAGATCTCTCCGTTTGTTGAAAGCCTTCCCGATGTTGACTCTCGTCTTATTCCGACGACTGGCACTGGACAGACAGAAGTTGTATTTTCTTTGTCTCACATGGAGTTTGTGTTGGGGTTTGGAATGAACTACAAGTCAGTCTCTTTGGGGCTGTTTACACCTGGCCACAAAGCGTTTTCTCAGATTGGATAGCTATCTGATTTATCAAAACGATTCCATTACACCTGGTCCCATAAATGTGTTTTTGCAAAAAGGATATAATCTGATCTTCAATTCCTGCGCTATATATATAATTCATGAAGTGCACGTCACCGAAAGCAACAGATATGAGCTGCATTTTATTTAATCATCGCCTAATTTCAAAATCAGCAAAGACAGCAATAAGAGAGAGTGGCAACAGCCCTGGTTGCCTGGTAAGATCATTTCATTTATTTACTTTTAATGAAGATGGTAGAGTTAAGCGTCTGCGACTTACTTTCACTTTGATTTGCGATAGATTGCGGCGCGCTGGCTTGATGAATAGACGCTCAGCTGCTCATCTGAGGTGATGCGTGTCGTCATATATGACTAAAATAACATGACATAACCTATAGCCTGCTTTCAACAACCAGATGCATTTACACTTGTCCAGTTTTGTCTGGAATACGGCCCAGATCACGTCATCAAGTGATTTGAGCGATCGGATTCAAATCCGTCTCGAATGCGTATCGGAGGGCAACCTGGTCTTTTCACGATCGAAAAGCTATCCGATCACAGAAAACGCATGAAGTGACCAGATAAACAGCTCATTTGAATCCATCTTCTACTTCTGTGGAAAGTTGACTAAAGTTGTGTCTCTCGAGTTGTCTTCTCTGATACGGAGAATGGCGGCGAATACACTACCTGCAAGACTATAGGCACATAGCCAGGCGAGCGTGAACGCGCATGACGTCACGGCCAGTCTCAGATTCAAGCCCGATCCCTCTTATTTATGTTACTGTACAGGATTATAGAGGCGATCTCAGTGATCAGAGAAAGGCTCATTCAGGCCATCAGGCGATTGTTTAAGCATGTATGGGTTAGAAAACGTCTATTTTTAACATGAAATGTTGCGCAATTTACCTTTAAAAAATAATTTCTAAATATTACTAATTTCAAAATATTATTTCTGTTGTACACTGCTGTACAGCATTAAATGTAAATGCAATGTTCAGTCACACATGACTCTTCATAAGCAAAATGACATACAAGATAGACTGATGGATGGTTAATGTTCAGTTTCTGATATGCAAGGACAATTGAACATTTATCTCCATTACTAACTTTCAGATTTCAAACTGGCATGGCGATGGTGATAAACAGCTTCCAATGGGTCTCACATTGATGAGAAAAGCATTTTGCAAATGAGACACAGTTTGAAACAGCATAAAGTGTGAGAACAAACCAGTGGGGTGGCAATTGAACGAAGGTTTAGGCTCCGGGAAACATACCAAGTGTTAACTCAGCATTATACTCCCTGAAATGTCATTTATTATGGATCCTGTCCATTTCCCAGAAGTTCAATGGTTTAACAAAATCTACTGCTGAGCTGAAGGCACACCTGCTTCTCAGTGCAGTTCTGCTCATGTGGAGACAGTAGTAACCATATGATGTCAGTCATTTCATCATTTCAATGGGTAAATGGGTATTCACTTTTGTAAACACCTATACTACTGTATATCTAAAACTACTTTTCACATATTTATTGATTTGATGACCTAAATAAATAAAAGTAAAAGTTTACAAATTATGTCAATTGTAGGCTTACTATCAAGGTTTGGTGCTTCTTTTACCATCATTTTTTTTTTTTACCATCAACGTTTTTTCTATCATTTACCTCTGATTTTAGGGATAACTTATTAGGTTTAGGGGTAGGGATATGATTAGGACTAAAGTTTCATACAGGAATGTTCAAAATATGTTGATCCAGAAAATCACCAATATAATAGAGTCAATGGCACAGTATTTTATTTTTATTTTATTTTTGTTATTTAAAGGTACAATGTGCAGGATTTTTCGCTTAATAACCTCTTACAATAACAATGGTGCATAAGGTAACGTATATTCCACATTAAGCTGAATTATGGATCTTGTCGTCAAGCTGATGGATCTTTTATGGATGAGTGAATACAGTAAAGTTTTTAACATGACTGTGGTATGAAGCAGGGCACGATTGCTAGAGGTATACTAGCGCCACACATAACGCGAGTCCCGCGGACATAAAATAATAAGGACATTTCTTTCTACTGAACTACACGCAAGTGCTGAATTAATAGTCTCATATTCTAACATTTAAACATAACTAACATTCGTTTTATGTACATTTGCTCACCTGTCTAAAGTACATGCAACACTCACGCGTCTATGTGGAGCTCTCGGCATCTCAAAAGATGTTAATCTTCGTTTTAGCCCTCCTTTTGTCTCAAAGTCTGCTTGTCATGGTCCAAAATGTATGAAAAAAACAACAACAGCGCGAGCGTCCTGCTAGGCATATTGGCATTACCCGGTTGTCAACGTCTGTCGCCATGGTTACTATGGCAGTACGAGGTCAAACCTGGTGGAAACTAGGGGTAACGTGGATATGATTGGCATTGACTGCCGACTCCTGTTCACAAGCCCCGCTGACAATTTAAATAAGCAAAAGTGGATTCGGACATGATCTAAGTGTACTTGTGCAGTGTGTTTTAGACCATGCACTTAGATAGTTAAAATAGGGGCCACTATGTCAACTACCCACATGCAAGTAAAGTTCTATTATATTTGAATATGTGTGTATCAGCACGCCATTACCTGTATAAGTCTGTTCTGTTCAGTTTGCAATGTGTTCAGGTCCTGTCCCAGGTTGCCTTGTCCTCGTCTAAGAGACTCATAGTCCATCTTCAGCTGGCCCGCATGGGCTGACAGCTTAGCAACTTCCTCTGCCAAGTTGACCAATAGCGCTCGATCCTGACCTTTGACGGACTTAAGATCTGTATCATGGTCGGTGAGCGAGTGCAGCAAAGATGTCTGCACGCCTTCCAGCCGCAAGAAGTTACTGTTATAATCAGGGCAGTTAGGGTCGATGAAGATATTAATGCGTGATCCATCACCTCTCTCGACTGTCACCAATGCATTGGCTTCGTCCTGATTGGTGCTAATATGGGGCGGACCATCCGACATGGGGGGAGCCTGGTAGTGGTTCATAAGAAGAATGGTTCCAGTCACTGTGACTGCAAGCAGAACGGCCACAAAGAGCAGGATGGTACACAGCAGATAGCTACAACTCATCCTCTGCAGACAGACAAAGACATAAAAAAACAGTGAAGAGTTAAAGCGTAATAACATCATAATCATCATTATCATTTTGGCAGAACAGAAAGTGCTTTTTAAAGCCTGTCAGAGATAATACTGCAGTCTGACAGAACTGTAGGAAAGAAAAAGAAGGAGAGATGAAGTTGTTCCCCTCCATCCTCACCCTGAGAATCATCTGTTTATTCTAATAACACTAGTTTCTTAGTGATATAGTTCCTCTTTTCTTCCAAACACACAAACAACCCTCTCTTCCCTTCTCAACTATTCATAGGAATCATATTATATAGTGAATAATCTTTGTAAAATGCTGAGAAAAGGGGTATACATAAGATGTTGTATTATTTGTATGAATTAAAATCATACTGTACATATGCATACGAATGAGCTTTGTATGGTAATCATGTATTCTTCATCTGAGAAATGCATTTTACAAATCAAAAATCATAAAACCACACAGATGTAGACACAATGTTGTCATGTGGTGTCATTTTGAATTATCTATTCACTCCACAGTGCTCCCTTAATAGGAAAAAAATAAACCACTTTGATTTTACAATCCAAACAAATGTGTGTATGTGTAGTCTGGACATGTGTGTGCAATGACGCACTGGCAGTTTTGGTGTGTTCTCTGTGTAAAATATGTTATTCCCTGAAAAAGGTGCATACACATATGTTCTCTTTTTTTTTTTCCTTCGTTCATAAATATGCAAAACAGCCATGCTGGCATTGGCCCATGCTGATGGGTGGTTAATGGCTTGCTTTATGAGTTGGCTTTTACGATCAACTAAGGGAATATAAAAAAGATTTCGGGGAAGCACTTCAGTGAACAGTTTACTCAGAGACCAGAGATCCTATCTCCTCCATCTCTGAAGGCTAGTGGAACATGTTGAGGCACTTTATAAGCTCCTGGTATGAATTAACTGAATTAACTGCTTGTCTGAAATATAAAATCTTTGGCTACCCGTAAGCCTGTCACACAATGCAATCACCTCTCTCTCTCACCTCCATTCAAAATGTTTAACAAACACTCTTTTTCTTGTTTGAGCTTCAGTTTGCAAATGCGGGGAATATTCTCCACAACAGAGCAATTGCATCCCGTATCTCCAAATCCACAGTCATTTTCGATTTCCCTATCCTAAAATAAAATCTTAAACTTGCCCCTTAGTGTCTACGTCACGACTCTCAGCCCGCCCTCTGTTCGTTGACTGGCCAACTGTTTTCAGGCCAGAGGAAAACTGAGAGATAGGTCTCCATCTCAGACTGAGTATAGAAGCGAACTGAAATTGAGCGGAAGTACAAAGTCTGACGTAGTCAGGCTACCCTGACTCTGCCCCTACCCCAACCCCTAAACCCACCCATCACAGAAACAAGCACAAAACAGTAGAATTAAATAAAAAACATGTTTTGGGTGATTTAAATGCCTTTTTAACGAGTGAGGTCAAGTAAAATGCCTTAACTAGTTGGTTGTCTTAATATTTCACTATGCAAAAGACATTTAGCCCACACAAGTATAGCCAAACCTGTGCACAGTACACACACATATGTATTTACATTATTTAAATTATGACTGAAATATATTTAAATGTACTTTCCAGCTAATTAAAATGTCAGCATGAATGACAAGACAACATAACACATTGGGCATTATTTCATGTTTTTCAGGTCCGACATAATTCATTGATGTCTTCATATTTATTCAAGCCAACTGTTCATACTTAAAGGGCAAACGTTATTTTATTTAACAGGTATGACTGATGCGCTTAAATTCTACATGTAATCCAATTGAACTCAATCCAGTGGCCCCTGGACACTTTCCTTTTGAACAGTTTCATCTAGATAAAAGACTGCTAAAAACAGATTTATACCACAAACTCTCAAACGATTGAAAGCAGTATTGATAGTTGGACTATACAGTATGAGCCATTTTCCCTGCAGATCAACATGACTGATTCTTTTCCATGTTGATTCTTTCCAGCTGAGCCTCAGTAGATTGATAGATATTTTTACTTATAGTATTTTATTGAGTGAAAATTGCAACAACTATCTCTTGGAGTCTCTTTCTCTCTCTCTCTCTCTCTCTCTCTCTCTCTCTCTCTCTCTCAAACTCTCTCACACAGACTCTGACACGTGTTATTCTAAACACCAACAACACGTCTGTTTTGTCTGTATTCACTTGAATTTTAATTTTAACGCCCAGAGATTCTAGGTTGTTTCTGAAAAAAAAAAAAAATGTGTTTTGCATAAAATATTCAGAATGCAACTTCAGTAGATATGAGATCATAAATGAATCCATATAAGAGGGCTGACACACAGGGAAGAATAATGAAATGCAGAGTATAACCCAAATGTGTGTGTGTGTGTGTGTGTGTCTGTCTTATATTTTCTGACTGCTTATCAGTACGATCACAAATCTGCAATTCTAAAAGACAGACATGAAAGGTTTATGAAACCCTAGGTGTAATATAGTAAAATCCTTTCCTTAAGCCCATCAATTTTCCAAAGGCAAGATTCAATCCTCCATTTTATATTTATTTCTCAGTACTGTAAGCGCATGGCGAAGAGGGATTACTAAGTGAATAGAACCAAAGCACACACCTGACAAGTAATGACCTGGGGCCTCGTTTATAAACGTTACGTACACACACAAAAAAGGCGTATGCCGCTCTCTACACAGTAATTGGTATTTATAAAAAAAGAAAACTTGACGGGGAAATGTGCGGTCCTTCACGCAAACTCTGACCCAGGCATATGCACAAAAACGGGTGAAATGAGAAATGGCGACACCGTCGGCAGATGGAAGAAACACGTGAATGTATGTGAAACTGTAGACCATTGTGTACAAGAAATGGCATTATTGCCTCTCATAAAAAACATGAAGACTTCACAAAGCAAGTCTTTCAATTAACAGCATACACAAACACCTGTTTTATCGATCTGCAGAGTAAAACAAAATCAAACAAAGAATTAACACAAAAATTAACACATATTTGTAAAAAGAAAAGTGAAATATGTTCTGCAATAATATTGGCGTGTTATGCAATTCATCCTCATAACACATCTGTAGCTTGTCAGATGCAATCAAATGAATGGTAATGAAATACTATGATGCCATCACAATGCGTAATGACGCACAATAAGTTACGTTTCTTGGTTTTCCTCTCTGTGTTTGCCATAATTTCGCAATCGATGAATATTAACTTGTGGGCATTTCACGGACTATTTATGGGCAACTATGGGCGTGACATGAAGCCGCAAAAGCTGCGATACATTTAGAATTGATTGTGATTTATTAAGGGAAAACTGTGTAGGATGTGCGTGCTCACGGTTTTATAAATCTGAATATTTCTTTGCGTACGCACATACTATGCTTCATCCGTACGCCACTTCTGACGCAAATCCTTTGCAAAGTTTTATAAATGAGGCCCCTGACCTGACAGAAACTGCAATTTCCCTTTATTAATAATAATAATTAAACCACCAGTAGGTGGCGGCAATGTTTTAATAAGTGAGTTCAGAGAGTCATTCATTCAATCGATTTGTTCAAACAGCTGATTCATTCAGGAAAAACAAGTGATTGTTCATTGAACCGTTAATATGATACATTCAAATCTTCACTGTCTGTTGCATTGAGACTGCTACAGTAAGGTTTCATTTTGAAATTCTTGTCGGCAAAATAAAGGGAAACAAACAACATTCACAATATTGTGTCAAAAAAGTAACTCACAATGTTAACTTATTGTTAAAGGGGTAGTTTACTGCTTTTTTTTCTTTGCATGATTGTGTTTATGGGGCCCATATATAACTTATTTGTGGTCTTTCTTTTTTAAAAAGTCTAATTTTTCATAAATTTCACCTTTACTCTAAGCCGCTTTCTCCTCTGTCATTTGAACGACCAGTAGACAGGCAGTGGGCTCAGATTGGTTAGTTTGGGCTCGTCGGCTGCACGGTTCAGGGCTCCGGGGATATAAATGGCATGAAGGAACCTCAGATGATTCTGACTCCACATGAGGAGGTGGTGGGTGAGTTGCGACATACGGTGGGAACGTAGATTACCTTGACGGTAGATGTACGCCACAGTGGTGGTATTGTCTGATTGGACTAGTACGTGTCGGTTTTTGAGTATGGCCCGGAAGCGGCACAGAGCGAGAAATACAGCCAGAAACTCGAGGCAATTGATGTGCCATAGGCGCTGGGGTCCTGTCCAGGAGCCTGCGACAGCACGTCCATTGCATATGGCACCCCAGCCCGTGGTAGAGGCATCTGTCATTACAACAACATGCCAGGAAGCAGGGGCACTCATAGAAAACTGAGGTTCGACCATGGGGTGAAGGTCTGAAGGCAGGTCGGAATAACTGGTACTCGGAGAGTGCCATTGAGGCATTGTCGTGAAGTCAAAGCTGAAGCGGTCTCATATGAAGCAATCCGAGCGGCGTTGCAGCGGCTGCAGATGCCATTTGCCCCATGAGCCTCTGAAAAAGTTTCAGTAGAACCGCACTCTTGCCCTCAAACTGTCTCAGGCAAGTCAGCAGTGACTGCGTGCGCGCGCTCACTCGTAAACTGCGCGGACATGGCGACCGTGTTGATGTCCATACCAAGAAAAGAGATCCTCTGCACGGGGCAAAGTTTGCTCTTTTCCCAGTTGACCTGAAGGTGCCGGAGCACTAGGTTCCTGTGTTCGCAAGGCCTGATCTCGAAAGTGAGCTAGGATCAGCCAGTCGTCGACATAGTTCAGGATGTGAACCCTGTGTTCCTGAAGGAGAACAAGGGTCATGCCTCGGCAACCTTCGTGAAGACGCGAGGAGACAGGGCTAGCCTGAAAGGGGGAACCACGTACTTGTATGCCTGCCCCTCGAAAGCAAACCGTAGGAACGGTCTGTGTCGAGGGAGAATGAAGACATGGAAGTAGGCGTCCTTCAGGTTCAGAACGCGCAGGTCCAGGATTGGCAGTCACCCACTGGTTTTATAGCGGCCCAGTGTGGGTGCACATTCATTGACCGCACCCTGACAGAGGAGACCAGGGAAGGACAAATGTTCCATGGAGGTCTGCTTTGCCAGGGGGCTGGTGACAGAGGAGGAGGATGAGAGCAGCACGGTCCGGGGACAGCGCACACTGTCTTCCAGGTCTGTGACAGAGCAGGTTGAGGGGTGCTCGGCTCAGAGGCGGTGAACTGTGTTGTCCGAGAACTCTGTGTGCTCAGAGATGGGAGAGTCAGCTCTTTCTGAGAATTAGGATTCTCCCCTGGCCCTCCACCAGGGGAAGGAGTGGCCCTGCTACCAACTCCTGGAAAGAACCGAGTCCCTCGACTCTCTGAGCGGCCCATCTCAAGAGTGCTGCTTAATAGTGGGGGGTGAGGCTCAGAGAGGGCTGTGGCGTCCCCCTGCAGCTTCCAGAGCCAGCCTGGGTGAACAGGCAGGGTGGGAGCCACAGCACTTGGCCGGTTGAGAACTGTTGGGCAAAGCACTCAAACGCACCGCCGAAGAGTGCATTATGGGATACCCGGGATATGGGGGTGTCAAGCAGAAGGGTCCGCCTGACATCCTGCACATCGGACGGGTTCAGCCACAGAATGGTGGGCATCACCTGATCCATGGAGCGTATGGCCACTTTCGTTACATACATTTCATTACATAGTCTGATGTTCGCAGTAGCCCGGGTAAGCATGGCCGTCATCTCAGGATCTTACTCGACAAATGCCATATGCACACCCGAAAGTGGCAGCATTGTCTTATCTTCACTTCCTGAAGATTCTAGCCCGCCTTGTGATGCTGCGATGGACCTGTTGTCCAATTCTGGAAACCCGCAAGACGTCCGAAAATAGACCCGGGGAATCCCCTGCATCACTGAAGAGGGGGGCGTGGTCCACGGACAAACAGTCAAATGAGGGGACTCTCTCTCTAATGAGATCATTGAGTTTCAACCGTAATGATGTGATGGTCACTGCTATAGCACGATCAAACCCAAGCACGCAGAGCAGAGAATGTGCCCATCAAAATCGGAAGTGAGTCGACCACAACCAGAAATGCATCGGTGAGCCGTCTTTAAAAAGACATGCCGTGTGCAAGCTCTTTTGTGAGAGGAAGAAAAAAACTCTGTGATGTTGAAGCGAGCAGGGAGAAACACATTTACTGGCAGATCACTGCACAGACCAGCAGGTAATGTAATCTCGCTGCAGATCGCTGTCACACCAACACCAGAGAGAGTGGCTCGTCTCAAAGAGTGAAGTCAGAAATGGCTGTGGATGGAAGGGATTCTTGGCTCCGAAGCAAAAACGTATCTGCATGTCTCCTTTGGCGTGTTGAAAAATTGTAGTCTTGTCAAAAGACATCTGACATAACAAACGAATTGCACAACATTAGACACGCGGAGATTAAACTCGCGGGTTGGCCGTCGGACTGAGGGCTGTTTTGGCCTGCCCTTAATTATCAACTGAATGTGTTGATATAGTGATCTTTTTTAATAGCAGGAGAATCCAGAACATAGGCGCATCTCACGCTCTCTTGCAGTGCCACTGCGCGAGAGTGCGCGCACCAAATATGACATCCAGACTTTTGTCAAACAATCATGACACGCACACGCGACTGGTCGCATGCACACACACGTCAACACAGCGTTCAGTCAGTGAGTGTGCGTGGCCGATATAAAGAAAAAAATAATCTTCATGATTTATGGACACGGTGTAACTACTTGCAGGGCAGCCCTTATGTCACGTCATACCACAACTATCTTAACAGAGTTAATTATATGTTTTAATAAAATTAATCATGCCATGAAAGAAAGCAGGAGATGCATTTGTGGGAATAATCTCATAAATAAAGAGCTGTAGGCCTATACTTGTTGCAGGTGGACATATCCCCATTTACTCAGAGCTACCTGAGCTTCATGTTGATAATTATTAAGTCAGAGCTCTGAGGGAATGCTGATGCAAAACAAACAATCCAAAGTCTCCAAAACTGTCATATAGGCCTATATAAAGTTGTAATCCTGTTGCCTTAATTGTGGATTTTTTTCTTAGAAAAAATAATGCATTCTTTGCTCATTGTTTCTAATGCAGATAATTGTTCTACTCTGTATTACAGTATTTACTGCTGTAAAAAAAAAGGAAGCAGCACTTTTATTATATACAATAAGAAGCTATTGTATGTGGTATGTGTTTATCTTAATAGACAACATGTTTTCAAAAAAAGGAGCTTTACAACCTTATCAGAGCTAATGATAATATTATTAAATTTTAGCACGTTTTAAGCCCCATTTAACATGTGGCTAGTAAAAGTGCTGTGTGGCTAGTAATTTTGGAAAACCACTAGCCACACTGGCTAGTGAGCAAAAAAGTTATTGTCAAGTACTGTTTGCAATGTAGACCTTGATGTTTAGAGTCCTTTTTATATGCTCCAGTAGTTCAAAGAAAAACTAATAATCTATAATGGTGTGAGAGATTAAAGCCCTTACCTTGGGCGGTGTTTGCCTGACTGTGTTTGAGTCTGACCAGCGATGTTTGAGCTGAGAGGAGTTGGGCACACACTGACGGAATGTCTGCATCAAACAAACAAACATAAAACTAAATAAAGTGATTTTTTTTTTTTTTTTTTTTTTGGTATCACTGTAAAACCAAACAAGTTAAGCTAAGTCATTTAATTTGAGGAAACCGATTCCCTCAATTTATTTAAGATTATAAAACTACAACTTCCAACCACAACATTAGATGAAATCAACTGAAGATAAAATGTTTAAATCTCTCAAGATCTTAGCAGAGGAGGATTGAACAACTCAGCATTACCAGCTTCACTTGTTACAGTTACACTTTACAATAAGGTTCATTAGTTAAAGGCACAATATATATTTGTTATGCTTTAAAAATAGCAAAAATAAAAGCAAAGAAAACGACGAAGAAGAAAAAAGTAGTAGCTAGTATCAATTTGCAACTGGACCAAACTTGACCGAGACTATTATATGTAATATTTATTTTAGTCTGTATTAGTTATGGACCATGATTACGCTTTGCCTGCACGTTCTGCTGTTGGAGACAGCTCAAAGCGCAGACGTTAGGGTGACCAACAGTCCTGACATGTCCTGTTTTCACGTTCTGTCCTGGCCGTCCTGGCTGTTTTTTTATAAAGTGATGAAAATGTCCTGGTTTTCAAAGAAAACTGCTGGCCGAGTGTCCTGGTTTTTGTTAAGCATTCGCTGCTAGGTAACGACTAACGAGTCGATAGATTGTAGGGCTGGGTACTGACACAAATTTCACAATTATCACGATTCGATTCGATTTTGATTCACAAGCTTGCAAAACTTAAACTGTGGGCATAAACCCTTGGGCACAAAACTATGTTAATCCGGGCAAGATGAGAAGCACCCAATATCAGAGCTTGGTTCATGCGTAATGACGCACACCAATGTTGACGACGAATCAGCCTGTAATTGGTCAACAACCATCACATGAAAACACACGTCACACGTGATATCCAAAATGGCAGCTAGCATTGAGCTAGCGGCAAAAATGACAGAAAATGTATAAATTATGGACATAAAGTTGATAAAACTTGAGTATAAGCGTTTGGATTTATTGCTGAAAAACTCTGAAAGAATGCACAAGTTCCAGGCTGGATAGAAAACACCCAAGAAAACCCCGTGATGGCTAGATCGTTAGCTTTCTGCTGGAAAAAAAAAAAACAGTAAGAACATCAATAAATCTGTCATCGAATAATATAAACATTATCAGTGGTGCCGTGTTGCGTCGTGGACGATCCCGTCGGTCTCTGAGGTTAATCACTTAATTAATCACTTAATTTCTTGACTGCAATATCTACTTTTATTTATCTCAACTGAAAAAATTCAGAGTACTTACTAAAAAAAATCAGAGTACTGACTATTGTTTTTTTTTATAAATTTAAAGTAATTGAGGTCATCAGTTTCCTCAAAGTAAAACAGTTAACTTAATAACTGTGTGATATTGTGAGCAAGTGTGATGAAGAGGCAGAGGCGGACGAATCCATTTGCAGTACTTTATTAACGCAGGTAAGCCAACAGAGGTAAACAGACATAAACTCCAGGCCCAAGACAGGAGGGGCCGGTAAACTAACTTAAGCCGCTGAAAAGGGCAATCCAAAGGCGTAATAGACAGGCTAGGGTCAGAGGCAGGCAGCAAAGGTTCAAAGGCGAGTAACACAGTCCAAGATCAAAATACCAGGGCAAATACAAGACGACTAGCATGAGACAGAGTAATGGTAAAACAAGACTTCACAAAGGAACAAAGAACATAGCAGTCCAGATAAAGGGGAGCTGAAAGGGTGCACAGGTGGGGCTGATGAGATGTTAGCCAATTAATAAGGGGATAATGAGAAGGGAAGGAGTTCTAATATGCAGGAGAGAGGGATCTGATGAAACCAGGAGGAGGCGTCGTTGAGCGTTCTGTGACAGAGCCCCCCCCCTGCGAGCGGCTCCGGAAGCGAGGACCTGGTCGACGACGGGGTCTACCACGGGGTCTTGGAGCGGGGCGATCAGGATGATCCCGATGAAAAGCGGCTGTTAAAGTGGGGTCCAAGATATCCTGAGACCTGACCCAGGAGCGCTCCTCGGGACCGTATCCCTCCCAATCAATAAGGTATTGTAACACCCCGCCGTGACGTCTGGAGTTCAGGACCTCGCGCACCCGGAAAGCCTCAGCACCGTCCACTTCAATGGGAGGGGTCTGCACAGGGACGGTCTCCTCCCGGCTCCCCTCTCTCCTCGGGGCGACGGCGGGTCTGAAAAGGGACACATGAAACGTAGGTGAGATCTTGTAATGAGCAGGGAGAGCCAAACGGAAAGAAACTGGTGTAATCTGACGAAGAATCTTGAATGGTCCGACAAAGCGAGGAGACAGTTTCCTGCTCGGGAGCTTGAGGCGAAGGTCTCGCGCCGACAGCCACACCCACTGACCGGGTCGATACCTGGGACCCCCACGCCTCCTCCGATCTGCTTGATGCTGATACCGGCGGACGGCGCGCTGCAGGTGAACGTGAGCAGTGTCCCAGGTGGCCTCGCTGCGCCGGAGCCAAGCATCTACGGCTGGGAGGTCGGACGGCTCCCCGGCCCACGGGAAGAGGGGAGGCTGGTAACCTAAAACACATTTAAAAGGGGTTAGACCAGTAGCAGGCTTTAACAGGGAATTCTGGGCATATTCCGCCCAGGCCAGAAAGCGACTCCAGTCCTGCTGATTTTGGTGGCAGTATGTTCTCAGGAATCGAATCAGATCCTGATTTAACCGTTCAACCTGCCCATTGGCCTGAGGGTGATAACCAGACGTTAGGCTAACGTTGATGTTAAGTTTAGAACACAACTCTCTCCAGACGCGGGAGGTAAACTGGGGACCGCGGTCAGTTACGATGTCCTCGGGCAACCCGAATAGACGAAACACCTGATTGAACAGAGCTTCAGCAGTCTGTAAGGCTGTGGGCAGACCACTCAGGGGTATGAACCGGCAGGATTTGGAGAAACGATCCACCACGGAGAGGATGGTCGTAAACCCTTGTGAAGGAGGAAGATCCGTAACAAAGTCCACTGCGATGTGCGACCAGGGGCGCTGAGGTACCGGCAGCGGTTGTAATAGTCCTGCAGGCTTGAGATGGGAGGATTTAACTGTGTTACAAACAGGGCATTGATGAACAAACTTTATGACATCTGAATGAAGTGACGCCCACCAGAACTGATTGGTGACTAGATGTGTAGTAGCAGCGATACCTGGATGACCCGCGCTGGGGGTACAGTGGATCCACTGCAACACACGGTGGCGTAGGCCAGGAGGGACGAAGAGACGATCGGCAGGACATTCCGGCGGAGCGGGATGGTTATTAAGAGCCGCAGTGATCTCTGAGATGATGTCCCATTGAACAGGAGCCACAATCAGAGTGGTGGGAACAATGGGTTCAGGCTTAGTTATCTCAGAATGACCGTCGAACAAGCGGGACAGGGCGTCAGCTTTGCCGTTTTGGGAACCAGGCCTGTAGGTGATCCTAAACTCGAATCTTGAAAAGAACAGGGACCAGCGAGACTGGCGAGCATTTAGACGTTTAGCTGACCTGATGTACTCAAGATTTCGGTGGTCCGTGAGCACAGTGAAAGGTTGACGCGCTCCCTCCAGCCAGTGCCTCCACTCTTCAAAGGCGGATTTCATCGCTAGAAGCTCGCGATCTCCCACGTCGTAGTTGCGCTCAGCAGAGTTCAGCTTACGCGAGTAGAAGGCACAGGGGAACATCTTCGCCGGATCCCCAAACCGTTGAGACAGGACAGCCCCCACTCCGGTGTTAGATGCATCCACCTCTATGATGAATTCCCTCTCTGGATCTGGGTGACGGAGTATGGGGGCGGACGTGAATCGCTCCTTGAGCTGCGCGAAGGCCGTAGTACAATCCGCAGTCCATCTGAAATATTTACCACCTCCTCGAAGCAGAGATGTGAGAGGGGCTGCAATGACACTGAAGTTGCGTATGAATCTGCGGTAAAAGTTAGCAAAGCCTAAAAAGCGCTGCAGTTCCTTAACTGATGAAGGTTGAGGCCAACTCACCACGGCACTGACCTTGCTGTCATCCATCAGGACTCCGTCGGCACTGATGATATAGCCCAGAAAGGAGATGCGTGTCCGATGGAACTCGCACTTGGAGAGCTTGACATAAAGCTGGTTATCAATCAGGCGTTTAAGAACTGCACGGACATCCTGGACATGCTCTTCACGGGAATCAGAATAAATCAAAATATCATCAATGTAGACAATAACTTTCTGCTGTAACATATCCCGGAAGATGTCGTTCACAAAGGCTTGAAACACAGAAGGACTGTTGGACAATCCGAACGGCATCACCCGATATTCGTAGTGCCCGGATGTGGTGGAAAACGCCGTCTTCCATTCGTCACCCCTCCGTATGCGAATCAAGTTGTAGGCGTTCCTTAAGTCCAACTTAGTAAAGTAGCGAGCCGTGCGGAGCATCTCCAGAGCAGCAGGAACTAGCGGGAGAGGATAGCGGTATTTGACCGTCACTTCATTGAGACCCCGATAGTCAATGCACGGCCGAAGGCCCCCATCCTTCTTTTTGACGAAAAAGAACCCGGCGGAAGCCGGAGATGTGGAGGGAGTGATGAAGCCCTTAGCCAACTGTTCGTCAATATACACTCTCATGGCCTCGGTCTCTGGTTGTGACAACGGGTAAACTCTCCCGCGTGGTGGTACGGCCCCAGGTAACAGCTCAATAGCGCAGTCGCCAGCACGGTGTGGAGGGAGATGAGAAGCTTCAGATTCGCTGAAAGCCAGGGCGAGGTCGTGGTATTCGGGGGGAATCTCCAGGAGATCCACCCCTTTGAGTGCAGCGCAGGGGATTTCAGTACCATGGACAGCAGCTGCACAATGGATCTGGCAGAATTCGGACCACTTGGAAATTCTCTCCTCAGCCCAGGAAATTTGAGGGTTATGTTTCACTAGCCAAGGAAGCCCCAGAATTACAGGATGCATAGGTGAGCGAATCGTGAAGAATTGGATCGTTTCTGAATGCGAAGTCCCGAAG